TTCGTCATACAAGTAAGCTAACAACGATAAGAAGATTCTAACTTGTGTTCAGTAACCTTATGATTGTATGATCTAACTACCAATCTATTGAACACAGGTTCAATCTCATGTAATGTTTATTTTTCAGGTGCTGGTCAGGAAACGAAGTCCGATACCCAAATTCCTCGACTACTCATTGTGTCCAGCAAAGTGAAGAATAGTTCTCTCATGCAGAGTGCTCTACTTCCTAATGTTACCATTGTGCAATATAAGTATGAAAACTCAACACTTGACAGTATTTTAGGTAGGTTTGTGTAACAAATTATGTTTAACACATATATGCCAAATGGAATATGTTGTTTAAGTATGTTTCTGTAATGTTTTTTCAGTACTAAATTTTAAATGTAATTCTGGGATGTCTTAATGCTGATCATTGATAGAACTTCAAGTTAGTAATTAATATTTGTAAATAACATATTTTTTGTGGTACTGAAATGTGTTGATTTAATTAGAAATATTCTCAAATTTGATCTGCAATTTCAGGCTTAGTTGCTCAGAGCCTTGGTTCCAAAAAAGTGGAAAGTATAGCACTTATCATGCACAGCACAGGTCGCTGTATTCATCTCTGTGGGGTAGAAGAAAAGGTAACAGTAATAATAAGATGTTTTTAAAGGGAATAATTTCAATTTGGGTTTATAACAATAATTCTACTCTGATTGGTTGAAAATTAAAGTGGTTTATATGTAAATGTTTTCAGTTTTGTCAGTAATTAAAGAAAGTTAAATTGTCATTTTAAAGTCTTTTAGACCCCATTCCCATGCTTAGATCAAGGTAGCAGGATTGACCCATCTCCAAAGGGATTCTCACCAAATTGCATTCGGATTAAGTGACTTAGATGTATGGCATGCCTACTGAAGCTTTTAATGATAGCTTCATGCCAATCATCAGAGCCGCTTATGCTGAATGCAATTTAGCGAGAAAACCCCTCGGAGATGAGTCGATCCTGCTAGATCGATCTAGGTATGAGAATGGGGTCTTAGTTAGAATTTCTGTGAATTAGATATTTGTTTCCAACCAACTTGTCAGCTAATGCTTGTCCTCTGATACAGGGACTACTGTCCTTCAGTTTAACGTTTCATTGACTGCCTATCAACCATTTGTCATCTTGAGGGGATAAATAATTTCAAACAACTGGTTGAAAAAATTACCAATGATCATTTTGGCAGATGATGCTTTGAAGATTCAAGAATTTTGGAGACTTTGAGATTGTTTATGAGAGAAAGAGAAAAGCATGCCAATTGCATTCCCCCTTTTTTCAGCTTGTGACAAAGGAGAATATACTAGAGCATGCCAGCATAAGAGAATTTTTTACAACACTGTCAACAAACCATTTAGACAAAAGCTGGGTGAATTCTCGACTGGACTTCTTAGGCTGCAATACTGCACAGAATGTAGATGGAGGAATCATTGCTAATATCATTGAAGATTTAGTTGGGGTAAGAGCTCTGTACTGCTAACTGTTTATTTTTTCCAAGTCAAACAGCTTCATTTTACATTAATAACATTTATTCTTCTCTGACTGGTTGGAAATTAAGTAAGCAACTAGCATTGGCACAAATGGCTATTTAATAGCGACAGAATTATTTTAAGAATTTAAAGTAGAAAATATAATCAAGTAATGGCAGTGGAATGCTGAGAAAAGAGAGGTTTGTTTGCAGAGACCTCTGAAACTGACCATACTTAACTACCCTTGTGCTATTTTTCAGGTCCCAGTTGGCATTTCCAAAGACATAAGTGGTAATGATATACCTATGGAAAGGATTGCTGTGGATTCCGAAACTCCAGTGTAAGCTTGGCCAGAGCAGTTTAACAATTTTTTAATCTGATAAATAATTTAACCCAGTTGTGTAAAACTATCGAGAATTTTTGTATCAAATTAAGGTAAATTCTTAACTTTACTTAAAGCCCAAAGGATTGTTGCATGTTTATTAAAGTGAGTTTTGTGATTGGTAAATATTTCTTGATTTCTCATGATTGCTGCAAATTTTACTTTTCTGAATGGTCTTAGATCTATAGAGCATTTGCTCTCAATCCCATAAATATTCATCCTAGATGTGATAATAAGATTATTGATATCAAATAGTTTGCTTTTCATTATTAATTATTTTAATTCTTATACTTGATTAGAATATTATTTATATTTTGTTCCAGATCCTGCGTAGGAGAGCTCTACTTTAGATTAGATAAACTTAAAAAGTGGGGGCAACAGAGTCTGTCTGGATTTGAAAAAATCAGGACTGTTGGGAAAGGTATATAATTATATGACAGAAGTACATTTTTTAAAATAGAAAATAACATTATACATATTGTCATATTTCTTTATTCTAAAAGAAAGTATGATAAATGAATTGTGTCAGATATAAAACTAGTCCTCTGATTTGATATTTTTAGGTGCTTATGGTACAGCGGTATTGTACCGTAAGAAAGATGACGATTCCTTAGTTATATTGAAAGAGATTAACATGCATGACCTCAATGCTAGCGAGAGGCAACTCGCACTGAATGAGGTAAGTTATTGCAGTGATCTGTTCTTGTTAAATTTTACGTTCTTGCCTCTGGATTAGCTAAGATTAACATATGTAAGGCTTTCTCACATGAAGCTTTATGTCTTAGCAGTGCAGCTGTATGGTATTTTTGGGAGGAGATTGGCAATTTGATAGCTACTTTTTTTTAGTTACTACGGAAGTCCCAAGTTGGCACCTTGATAGCTTGCCTTTTATGGTAGATTTATATGGAAATCTCACTAGTGCTTTATAACTTGGCTTTTGCGTAGAGTTTTACGGAAATCTCACGTTGACACCATGATAGCTTGTCTTTTAAGTAAGAGTTATATGGAAATTTCACACTAGAACTTGATAGTTTGTTTTTTGCGCAAGAGTCATACAGAAGACTCACGCTTGCACCTTGATAGCTTAATTGGCTTTTGCGTAAGAGTTATATGGAAGTTACATGCTCAGCGCAGCCAATTGTGTAACTTTCTCATAAGCAGCAGGAAGTGAATTTGTGGAGAACTTGTGAGAGAGAGTCAAGAGTCAAGTCCTGTGTAGCATAATAACAGAGAAGAACTTGTCAAAGTATACTAGTATGATGAAGATGTGCCTTATAACCAAAATTGCAATAGTTTTTAGCAGTGAATTAGTGTTTATTAATACTATGTTAATAAGTTGCATAACTATACCAACAGTAACTACTTAGACAAAGTACATCAACATGTATGTGAATGAATAGCAACACTTAAGATACATATAGAAATATTATTAAGGGCAGCTGATCAAAATTCCCTTCTTTAACACAGTATGTCAATATGTGAATGAATTGCAAAACTTAAGGTACAGATAGCCATATTACTAGGCACAGCTGTACAAAATTCCTTTGTAGTACAAAAAGATGGATCAGTATCTGATACTGAGTGAACATCATGTACGCAAATCATATAAATACCATAATGTCATTGTAAGAGGCGCCTTCCGCCCATATGAGGGACGGGAGGGGTGGGAAAATCTTCGACACTTATTCTTTAAGCTGATTAAAAGCAAATATGCACAAGAGCCCTAATGCAATGTCCAGCTCTAACAGCTGCCAGGCTTTATCTGCCAATGATTTCAAGTATGTCTCGTGATCTGGCTGACCAATCACTCGGCCTGCTGCAGGGTGCTAAGTGTCCCTCTAGTGGTGATTTTAAAATACCATTCCCAAAGGAAAAGGGTACTTTAACTTACAAATCAATGACCTAGAATCACAATTTCATGTTCCGATTGTATCAAAATTGAACGTGAGCATTTTGTTGTTAACTTTGGCCTGCAAATCCAGTCAGATTATCAAATGTGCATTGGGTGAGCATGCCAACTGATAAAATTTGCTGCCTGAAATTCTGTCAATCATAGCTGAGTCACATTCTTTGTGTTGGTGTCAATAAGCTTATAGAAATAGGAGAAAATGCTCTCTTTTTCAAATTGGAAGCTCCAGATCTCTGACATACAGCTTCTCGTATCTTCTGCCATTTAGAAAATAGTTTGCAGTCACGAAAAAGAACCTGTATCTAAACATTGAAAGACCTGAATGAAAGCAGTTCTTAACCTCACCAATTGTTTGCAGCCAATAAAGTGATGTTCGCAGCCAGTATTTATACAGTTGCAACATGAAATAGTGGTTCCAATTCAATATTTTATTACTTGGCTCCAAGTAACAAATGTCAATTTATTTACCATATATGAGTCCTGAAAGATAAAACACACACTATAAAAATTAAGGCCTTTGTTCCAGTGGAAGAAACATTGTGATGTTCAAGTACAGGTTATCCTATTTATGATATTTAAATGTTGTAGACCTGGTGTTAATGTTAATTTTATGTCATTGGCAAATTATTGCGAGCATGAACTGCAAAAACAAAGGCAGTTTCTTTTTTATTTGAATAGTTATTAAATGAAAATTTGGCTGTTTAAATGTCTTCCATCACATGTCTTTATATATTGTTGGTTGATTTTTTGCATTAGACAGATATCGAAAGATGAAAACTGCTTTAAGTATATATTACATGCTATGAATACATTTGACATATTAAATAATGAAGATAAGGTCTTTTCATGTTTATTTCTAAGAAAAATGTTTGATTATCACTGTACATATCATAGTTTTACAGCATCACCTTGGTGGAAGTTATTTAGTTATTTATTTAATTTGTCATATCTTGTCATGGAATTTAATTTGTGTGAATTAAAGTTTGATCTTGCCATAGGAATTAATTTGTGTGAATTAAAGATTGGATTGATTTATGTCTTTGTAATATTTACATCTGTAGGATTACAACTTGATTTTTTTTTCTTTCACATTTCCTTTAGGTGAAAGTTCTGGCAATGCTGGACCACCCAAATATCATCAGTTACTATGACAGTTTTGAGGAGGACGGCACTCTCATGATTGAGATGGAATATGCAGATGGAGGGTAAGTGCACCTGTGCATTATATTATTTGTTTTAGCAAATGGTAAATTGTAGGTTTGAAAGTTCATTGAATTAATGCATCAATTAATCTCTGTTATTAGCCTTTCTTTGCACTGACACAGCATTTTCTCCTTGTGATTTTTTATGTGTTTATGGTCATGTTAAAAAGTGTTTGTTAATTGTTTTTAATTGATTAATTTAATAATAAATGTGGGAAAGGTTTCTGTTTGCTAAATTATATATCTTTTTCTCCTGTATTAGATAATATTGCCTTAAATCTGGTATCCGTTTTCAGCACACTGGCTCAGTTTTTGAGCTCTCAAGAAAAGCCGCTTGAAGAGAAAGAAATCCTTGGCATGTTTCAGCAAATGGTTGCTGCCATAAGACACATACATGAACACAATATATTGCACAGGTAATATTCATATAAATCTTACTGCATTGATTTGGTGTATGGGGGAACTGAAATATAGTTAATTGTACGTGTGTATTATATCATTGACCTTTGCTACATGTCTCATTACTGGAACATGTCTGAGAGTTCCTAATGATTTCTGTAAATGATTTAAAGACGATTACTGTAAGAAGAATAGTTTATCTATCCGCTCTTTTCATCTTTTTATTTGTTGTCCTTTACTTTGTTTATTAACTATGCTTAGAAAGGTGAATATTAAAAATGTAAACAAGCAATAGATGAAGTATGTACAAATCTAAAAAAAATTAAATATTAAGGTATCATGTATGTTTTTATTGAATATCTTTCGGTAATATTTTCCATTCATTACAAAGAAATATACATATTTTCTCTAACACCCCATTTCCATAGATTAGATCGACCTACTTTAGATCGACCTAACTCCCTGGGGGTTCAAGCTAAATAGCTGTCAGCCAGGCGGACACGAAAGTTAATTATCCCCTTACAGCTTGTAGTAGGCGGGACGGACATTTAAGTCGGATTATCTGAAAGTAATCTAGTGAGACTCCCCGCGGGGATAGATCGATCTAAAATCTATGGGAATAGAGCCTTATTTGCAATGGGTTTATATACATGTATGTGCTGTATGATTTCCAGAGATCTTAAGACGGCTAATGTTTTCCTTACTAAAGAAGGTGTTGTAAAAATGGGGGATTTTGGTATTTCTAAAATGATGACCACAGCTGCCAAAGCAAACACAGTATTGGGGACCCCATATTATATTAGTCCTGAAATGGTGAGTCTGTTTAATGAGCTTGCAATTATCAAGTAGTTTGATTGCATAGAAAGAAACTAATTGGTACTTCATGAATATTTTTACGTGATGTAATTGCCAAGAGTTCTGATTATTTAACTGTAAGGGATTACCTTTTTCGATCACAGAATTTTATGGACTATGAAATTTGATGGTAATAGGTTAACAGACATTCCTATGCAGAACTGACATTGATAATTATATTATATTATATTATATTATATTATATTATATTATATTATATTATATTATATTATATTATATTATATTATATTATATTATATTATATTATATTATATTATATTATATTATCTTAATTTTCAGTGTGAAGGAAAGGCGTACAATGACAAATCAGACATATGGGCTTTGGGATGTATTCTTTATGAAATGGCTTGTCTTCAGAAAACCTTTGAGGGTTCAAATCTTCCTGCACTAGTCAATAAAATTATGAAGGTAAAAAAAATGTCATTATTAGTGACTTAAATTCTGATGAGAAAAGTTTAAATGTAAAACTGTGCTGGTTTGAAATCAGTCCTGTGTTTTCTTATTAGCAAATAATGTGAGGAAAATATGTGCTAATTGTTGAGTTATTGGAACAGCTGAGTATTTAATATTTCAGACTAGTTCAAATGAAATGGCCTCAATGAGAGTTCATTGAACTAAAGGAAGCNTGTGCTCCGAAATCATGATAAATAGTTTTCGTTTTCTAATTCTTTATTCTAGTTGTCTTAACAGGACTTTTGTGACCCAGACTTATTCATATAATAATAAACAATTTCCCAAAACACAAATCTGATCAAAGTTTTACATAGAACCTGCTTCTATACATTAATCTAACCCACTGAGTTGTCCTTTAAAGTATTTTCTCAATAGGTTCATACCAAGAATTGTTTTATATCTAGTAAGATGTGATTAGCTTAATGTAGCTCATACGTTAAGGATGTCAGGGAGATTAATCATTTGTCAACTTGCAAATTATTGATTGGCAGCAAGATATACTCATACTAATAACTAAGCATCATGCAAAATGGGCTGACATTATCTTTAAATGCAAAATTGTAATTATTTTTTCTTTGCAAGCATGAAACTTTATAAGCTTATTTAACGGAGAGAATTTATTCCTTTCTTGAATTCGTCATCTTTTAGGGTCAATTTGCCCCAGTGAAGGGCAACTACAGTCCCGAGTTCAAAGCTGTCATCAGAGATATGTTGGAGAAGGAGCCGCAGTACAGACCTTCAGCATATGAACTGATGTATAAGAAAATTCCTCCAGTAAGCTCAGCCTAATCTTGCTGAAAACATTTGGATTCATACTGCATGACAAAATCACTTTGATTAACATCTCAATCAATGCAGACGGGTGGGTTTTGTCTTAATGTCTCAGCGCTGATTCCTGCTATGTAGAGTATTTTTTTTTTTTATAAAAGAATACATGATGATGAGATTTTTTTGAGGGTGGGGATGGAGATCATGCAGTTATGAAAAAAAAGCATTATTTAAATTTTATAGAAACTAACATGGTTATGGAGAGAATTTTATTTATATATTTATTGATTTTTTTGGGAGGGGAGGTGGGGGGGGTGAAGGAGATTATTTTTGAGTTACAGAAAAAAACATTGTGTATGATTGTATAGTTAGAATTGTTTTGTTGTTGTCCAGCTAATGAAGAGGTTTCTTGACCCTATAATAGGCATAGAAGATGTAGGGGATTATTGTAGAGTTACAAAAAAAAAAGAAAAAAAAAAAACATTATTTAGCATTGTATCATCAAGATTCTTTTGTTGTTGTGCAGCTAATGGAGAGGTTTCTTGACCCTGTAACAGACATAGAAGACGACCTCACTACCTCCACTGAGAGCAGTACCATGAAGCTGAGGAAGAAAACCAGGTAAACACAAACAACACCAAAGTATTGATTTCTATATCTTGCCCAATACCCAGGCCTAGCAAGTAGTTTTTTTTTTTTTTTTTTTTTTTTTTTTTTTTTTTTTTTTTTTTTTTTTTGTAATCGTTATAACATGTAGTGTTTTGTTTAAAAGGCAGATTAACACCTAAGGTGCATTCAGGGCTAGACTAACTTAAATCAGAAATATCCTTACTGCTGTCATTAAGATAATGGAATCCTTAAAAGCACACATTAAGTGATAAACATTTAAGTGCAAAATTTGTTTTTCTTGGTAATTCCAACACTTTTCTTTTTATCACTGTAGGTATATCACATCCAAAATCGTTCACAAAAATTTTGATTCACAAGCTTGTTTATAAGTTCTAAAATTCAGGGTTTTGAGTCACTCTCAATAGGGAGATTCATGATGGTAAAAATAAACTTTTTTGAACTCAAAAGCAGCTTTACAGATATAACTCTTGCAGCATTTTTTGGAAAGGGGATTTTTTGTTGATAAAGGAAAAATTCTTGTCGATAAAGGGAAAATGCTGAAATGTAAGTCCAAAGGAGTGTCTGGGGGGAGGGGGATGGGAGCGAAGAGGGTTGGTCCCAGCTGTGAGCTAATGACATCTGGTGGCATTTGAAAGAATCATTGGTTTTATTGAATCCAAGTCTGAATGCTCTTGTTAGGATTCTTTGGGTTGCATTCTCTGCTTTGCTTGTATTCAACTAAAGGTCTGTGGATTATTTTGGTGCATGATCAGTTATGCTTGGTCTGTTTTATTCAATTGAACAGCTGAAGCATTCTTGTGGCTATTATGAAAATAACATTTCTAGTTATAGAATAACTGTTAATAATTTAAATATTTAATATATTATGTTATTCTATAATTAGATTTATATTTATTGAATAACATTTGAAGATTAATACAGTACCCTTTCCGATGTAATCATACAATTGATGTATTTTTGTAAGTTGCATTTCATTTAAAATGCATGAATTTTATAAAAAGTGCTTTAAGTAACAGCTTTAATTTGTTTGTTATGTTTATTTTCATTTTTGCTTTGCTTTGTTAGCTATTCACTGGATAATAGGTAAATGGATTGTGTGTTGTGAATGTTTTAACTGGCACTAACTTACCCATATTCTAAAAAAAAAATGCCTCCAAGCATTGTTTCAGCAGGTGTCTTCTTTTTACCCTTTATTCAAAACTTTTTGTTTTTATCTTTTTCTTTTAATTGAAAGGAAATGAATAAGTGCACAGCTGACCAAAACGTTTTAGCTCTTAATCTAGCAAAATTTGTTTTCATCACAGCTCTCCAAAGTGAATTAGTTGCTTAAGTGAAAACAATTAACCATTATTACTGGAAATGAATTATTTATTGGAATGAAAGTAATTCTGTTTGGTCTTTGTTACATGTAGCAACTCTGCAGTAAATAGGTAAAGTGATGTAACAACTGAAGTGATGATGATGTGATAAATACTTTTTATTGGCTTTGTTTTTTCTCTTTAAATAGTTTTCTTCTTTTTCATTTGAGTGACTATTATAGCAAAATTTTTCTGTATATTAATTAAGTGTCCTTTTCCTCTTTACTATTGTCGTGTTCTTGTAGATTTTTCTGAAAATAGATATTGTGACACAGTGATGCAGTTTGATTTGAAAATAAAGTTTCCTTTATTATGATGTTATTAACATTATTATAATATACTAGGGATGTTGCAAAAATATTTTCTTGTTCTAGGAAACAGATTTCATCCATTTGATTTTAACTGCAGTTATTTTGCACAAACATTCAAGGGGTGAAAGTGATATTTATGAATATCAGATTTCCTGTGTTAAGAGCAGTAACTAGTCTTTTGAGTCAAATTCAGGCATGTATTGCCTGTGACATTAAATCAAACAAATATCACCCCTGACATATAGTAACATATATTTGGTAAAAATACAGAAAGATGATTTCAAGAAATTAAAAAAGGTTTTATGATATACTTGTTCATAGAGTGTTATGCTTGTTTTTAAACATTCAATTAAAATATTTTTAAAAGCCTGTGCTGTTCAGTCTTTTGTAGCATTTAATAAATAACGATAAATGATAATATTTCTATAGTAGAATTCCAATATGTCAATTATTTGAGAATACAAAATTAAGAGTGTGTGTCTTTTTATTTCAGGTCAGTTTTATATTACCTAGAGACGTGGGACATGAAACTTCACCCAGTTGATCTTCCAGCCAAAGTCAGGATAAGAGAGGTAGACATTTTTTTGCTGGGTTGTTTACGTCATTTTCACACATACACATTCTAAGTCTAACTGTCATATAAAACGTAATTGCTCAGTATGGTATTAAAAGACACAGAGTGAGCGTTTGGCCTTTTTAAAAGTAACAAAAAATGAAATTTCAACACATTTTACTTAATCACCAAGATATACCATATTAAAAAACATTCACTAAATTTTGATCCATAAACCCTTTTTATAGTTCTGTTGTCTAGATTTTGAGTCAACCTCAAATTGGATATAGATGACAAAATGAGTAACATAAAACTCCACCTGGAAATGAGGTTTATGGATTGTTCTTTTCTCAGTGGTTTTGAATAGGTTATAAAGGGAAAATTGCTATTTCTAGTCTAAATTAATATCCTTGTGAGCATGGTCTTTGATTAATGTATTTTCCAGTAATTCTACCTAATGATTAGTATTAATGCCCCAGGATTAGCTACTGCAGTGGTAATAAAATGCTGACCTTTTTTTAATAGTCTAAGATATAAGAATCATATGAATGCAAATTATTCGTGTCACAAATGAATTCATAACATACAGAACAAGTTATAAAGTCTTTGATGACAACAACCCTTTTTTTCCTCTTTTCATTTTCCCGTAGATTGCTGTTGGTGCTGATCATGTGATTGTAGTGACCAATGAGAGAGTAGTTTACACATGGGGTGAAGGGGGCAAAGGTCAGCTAGGACATGGTGATCAAGAGTCTCTAACTAAACCAGAAATGGTAGAGGCGCTAAAGGGGAAGTCAATTACAAGGTACTAGGTTACTAAAAAGTGTGCTACTAAAGAGTTGAATCATTGACACTTTTCTTCCATATCTTAGAGCTTCACTGACAGATCAAAGATTTTGCTATGGGTGTGTGGGGGGGGGGGGCATAAAGACTGCTTCATTTACAAATATGAAACAATAGATGAGGGCATTTTTAAAGTGTAACATATGCCCCCCCCCCCCCCCCCCCCCCACCNTAGAGGCGCTAAAGGGGAAGTCAATTACAAGGTACTAGGTTACTAAAAAGTGTGCCACTAAAGAGTTGAATCATTGACACTTTTCTTCCATATCTTAGAGCTTCACTGACAGATCAAAGATTTTGCTATGGGTGAGGGGGGTGGCATAAAGACTGCCTCATTCACAAACATGAAACAGAAGATGAGAGCATTTTTAAAGTGCAACATATGCCCTCCCCACCTCTTATCTGGATCCACCATTGAACCCAGTAAATTCTTTTTCTATAAATTTCAGTGATGTGAAAAAGTGATGTGTTCAAGATGTATCTCCTATTCCAGGGCGTGCTGTGGGGATTGTTTCAGTGTATTTGCCAGTGATAATGGCATCATCATGACATGTGGGGATGGTTCTAATGGCTGTCTGGGCCACGGAGACTGGTACTCCAACTCCAGACCAAGGCTTATAGAAGCTCTCCTCAGGTACAGTTTACACATTATAGAGGCTCTCCTCAGGCACGGTTTACACATTCTACAGGTTCTCCTCAAGTACATTTTACACATTCTACAGGCTCTGAGGTATAGTTTACACATTCTACAGGTTCTCCTCAGGTACATTTTACACATTCTACAGGCTCTGGGGTACAGTTTACACATTCTACAGGCTCTCCTCAGGTTCATTTTACATATTCTACAGGAATCCCACAGGTGCAGTTTACTACAGGTTTTCCTCAGGCACAGTTTACACTTTATGGAAGCTCTCTTCAGGTACAGTTTACACATTCTACAGGTTCTCCTCAGGTACATTTCACACATTCTACAGTTTCTCCTCAGATACACTTTACACATTATAGAGGCTCTCCTCAGATACAGTTTACACATTATAGAGACTCTCCTCAGATACAGTTTACACATTATAGAGACTCTCCTCAGGTACAGTTTACACATTCTATAGGTTTTCCTCAGGTACATTTTACAAATTCTACAGGTTCTGCTCAGGTACATTTTACACATTATAGAGGCTCTCCTCAGGTACATTTTACACATTATAGAGGCTCTCCTCAAGTACAGTTTACACATTATAGAGGCTCTCCTCAGGTACGGTTTACACATTCTACAGGTTCTCCTCAAGTACATTTTACACATTCTACAGGCTCTGAGGTACAGTTTACACATTCTACAGGCTCTGGGGTACAGTTTACACATTCTACAGGCTCTCCTCAGGTTCATTTTACACATTCTACAGGAATCCCACAGGTGCAGTTTAATACAGGTTTTCCTTAGGCACAGTTTACACATTATGGAAGCTCTCTTCAGGTACAGTTTACACATTCTACAGGTTCTCCTCAGGTACATTTCACACATTCTACAGTTTCTCCTCAGGTACAGTTTACACATTATAGAGGCTCTCCTCAGGTACAGTTTACACATTATAGAGACTCTCCTCAGGTACAGTTTACACATTCTACAGGTTTTCCTCAGGTACATTTTACACATTCTACAGGTTCTCCT